ATACCCGGATTATAGCAAGTTGATATTATCTACTAGAAAGCTCCTTCCACCAAACATTTTTGATCTGTCTACTAAGAGGTATTTATTTACACAGGGACAACTCAGACACCTGATGTCCCTTCTATGCAATCACTCTTACTTCTGCCTCTCTCAATTTCATTTCTTATTAAAGCCACAAGAGGAAGCAAGCTGGAAAAGCTGTAGGGAGGGGAGAAAGACCTAGTGGGAGAAACAACTGCTGTACAACAGAAGGAAATGCCTTATTCAGGGGCACAATAATAGCTAGCAAGCACTCTGTTGCATGCGTATTCCTCACTCCCAAAGGGCTGGGGTAGCAAGCGATGGTTTGGTGGGAGCTGAGCAGAGAGCTGAGCTGAGTCTGCTGTCTCAGTCATGCAGACTGTGTTTGGAGCTCTGGAATCAGCCTGATTGAGCCTCTGAGCTGAGGCTCAGACGAAATATTTAGCAGAGCCACGAGGTTCATCTCTGCACCAGAGCTTCACTCATTCTGCCTTGCCAGAAGAGGAGGCAGAGGCACCACGTTGGTGATGCATCCTACAGGACACATTCATTTGTTTCAAAGACAATAAGAATATTATTTATTTCCTCCTGAAGCAAAAGATGTAGCTCAAATACTCCAGGAGGAGGTAAACACAGTTTTCCTCCTGTATGTTGCCCCAAATATTTGCCCTGCACCCCTCTCCTCTGCCTTGGTCTCCACCCTGCCAGGCTACCCTGAGGAGTCAGGAAGCCCTGGCAGCAGCAGGATGAAGCCCTTTAATCCTCCCCCTGCTTTGATGCTCTGCCCAGCCACCTTCACACAGATAGAGGTTTGAGGCAGGGCTGGATCACGGTGAATTTTTCACTGTTTTCATCCTCCCTCTTTCCCTTTCCCCTCCTCTTTTTCACCCCCTCCATGAGCGCTACAGAGGTAGCACTGCACAGCGGTTCATACATGCAGTGATGGATACTTCAGCATCAGCTGCAGTGAGGAGGATGCCAGCTCCGCATTGCCTCTGGCTGCATCACTGCTTCTGTTGACAGCAACACAGCAGTAACAGTTTGATTCAGACCCTCGTGGTGTAATTGCTGTTCCCTTATTGCATCTCTCTGAGCTCATTCTGCTCTGTGGAGGTCTCCACAAAATTCAGGGAAGACTTGCAATCTTTCCTACCAAAGATTTGGGTTTCCAGCTCTGGCACTGCACTGCAGAGGAGCAATCTGACGTTACCTCCCAATCCATTCCACCACTGTGCACTCCTTTGAAATTAAGACAACTCCAACATTTATTCAGGGCATGCTGAGTGCTTTGTGGTGGAGTAAGAAGACTAAGCATAATAGAGATTCTGGTGCAATATGGTCATCATCTTTGCTTTTACATGGAGTATTTCTCCTTATTTTTAAAACAAAACATTAATACTATTTGAAGTTTGTTTTGCAGAGTTCCAGCACAGATGGGGACTTGTACGGTGTACTATTAATAAAAGATATTAATAGGAATTAATAATGGAAGCAAAGACGTTTTAGGGAATGAGATCATTACAATTAAGAATAAGAGGAGTCTACAAGATAAAATGAAACCTTACATTGCTTAAACAGCTTTAATAATAAACAGTGAGTTTCCACTCATTAAGATTACTTCAAGCATCTGCATCAGAGAGATGGTCAAAGAAAATGTATTCAGAGATAAATGGAAGAATAAAGCAGGGCAGTGAATGGAGAATGAGATCACACTTCTTTCCAAATATGCAAATAGATAAACATCAGAACAATAGATTTTCTTCTATCCCTTTCACAAAGGTGCAGTTTGCTTATCTGAGATCATTGTGAGGCTGGTAAGAATACAAAGCTTAATACAAAATCTCCCAAAGGCTGACAAACAGTTTGGTCAGGCTGGCTTCAACACAGTAGGACTTCCTGCATACACATATGTACACACATGAAAATACTTTTTCGTGTATCTGTATTTAAAAAAAAACAAACAAAAAAAACAAACAACAACAAAAAAAAAAACCACAAACCCACAATAAAACAAACAAAAAAGCAGCAATCATATATTTTTCCTTTGTACAGAAATATAATTACATAGTTAGAATAATTAGTGCTGAAAGACAGTTATTCCTTCATTTTAATTTAAAGGGGTCTACTCAGCCGTTTAAGGATGCCCTCCATTTTAGGTGCATAACTACAAGATGTTTGCAGGCCTTTGAAGAATTTATGTATCTTCCATTCTTTCATGTGTCATTTTATTCTGTGATGATAAGAACAAATCACCTTGGACAACTAATGCATCAAGACCCCTTTTTTTTCTTTTCTTTTTCTTTTTTTTTTTTTTCCCCCAGCTTTAATACTACTTAGTAAGTCACTAGATAAATGCTAATAGAAATGGCATCCATCTGCTACAGGCTTAACACACTCATTTTTCCTCCTATTGAATTTCCTTCTCACCTAACCCACACCAAGCAAGGCTACAGAGAAAAAAAACTGTATCCCACCAAATGCTCAACATGTTTAGTGTGCTATGACAAGGAAACTTTGAAACTTTTATCATATCCAGGCTGTGGGTTTTTTTTTTGCTGGTAAGGCTCCAAAACATGAATTAGGATCTGGTGGGGACTCTGGTCTGCTCTCTTTCCTTCCTCCCATCTACTCTCCATACCCATGATCCTTTTTTTCCAGTCAGAAAGTTTTCTGGCTCCAATCACACTTTGCAAGCCTATCCAACTTTTCACTGCACTCAGGGACTCTTGGTTTGTTGGCCTCTAGCCCTAGTATTGAGTTTATCTGGAGGAAAACTGGAGCAACATAAACTAAAAAAACCTTGTTTGATGGCTGGCAATGACAAGGGCCCTCACAGCTAAGCTTTTCCTGTGGAAGATCCTAGGCTACCCTGCCCAATAAGTAACATCTTCTGCCCTGGGTGAAGGCCATGGAACCAGAATAAGCTCAGAATTTTTCACAGCTAGACTCTGAGGTTATTTTTATTAAAAGGTGCTGAAAGTTGGGTGCCCAGTTTCTTACACATCTTTGAAAAATCCATGTCATGGCTGTTTTTTTTTTTCCCCACTGTGCATGGCACATAGTTTGTGTTTGTGCCATTTCACTGCCTCTGAGCTGAGAGAAAACATGCACTGCAAATGTCCAGGTCACTCAGACACCTGCCTTGAATCTATGACAAGTTACCTCTTCTTCCCTATGAGTAGTCATCTACAGGACATACAGTGAAGATAAGGTGACGTGAGCTTCACTGTGGACAGTTTCTGGTACCAATCCAGAGCTGAGGTCTGGGCCACCACGTCTTCATGGTTGTTTGCTCCAATTTGTTTAAGTGTATGCATCTATTCTGGGAATCCCTTCAACTGCGATACTAAAAGCTCACATAGTTATGATCCCAGGTTTAATATTTGGCTAGTGAGATCAGACGAATGTTCCCTTCGATATCCCAGTATTGTACACCTTCCATAAAAGTTTACTTGAGGAATCATATCACATGCATCATTCAGAGCCTGCAGTTTCCTTTTAAAACTGCACTTTGCTGAGTGTTGCAATGCAGATGCTGAAGGCAGAATGATTATCCACCTGCCTGCCTCCCTTGTTGCATTAGCTTCCCTAACAAGAATGGGAAAGTGGAAGAAGCTACAATACAAACAGTGTGTCAAGGCTTTTGAAATAGCAAACAGTGTTACCAGGGCTTTCCATTATATTTTACCACCATTAAGTAAATCTGTTTCTGAGACAGGTACTTCCTACAGTCCTATTTATTTAATGAAAAGTCCAAATCCAAAGCCTGCGCTGATGTCAGGGACTGCAAAGGGAGCCGATGACTCCGTCTGTCTGACAAAAGCTAATTCATAGGAGTCATCTGTGTGAAAAATAAACTGTGAGAGTACTCATAAAACATATTGTCCGTGAACAAACTCGTGGCAAATATAATCTGAGTAAGTTTTCACTCTCATTGTTTCCTTCGAAAGATATGCCATTCCCTGAAAGGTATGCATGGTAAGCGGTGCTGAGAGCTGCAGAGCAAATACGCAGTGACTGGGTGCCAAGTTCTACAAAAAATATTCCCCAGATAAAAGAGAAGCTGTCATCCAGAAAGCTGCAGTCAGTAAAGATAAAAAGATTGTCTTAACAAGGGAATCAGCGTCAGGAGAAAACAATGCTAAAAAATGAGCAGACAAAAATACAAACACAAAAAAATGTGTATTACATCATTCTGTGTTACAGGAGCAATAATGTATATAATCACAGGGAAAAAAATGTCCAGAATGACCAAGAGGAAAGAACTGTGTTCAACTTTGAAATGTTAATAGTGAAAAAGATGCATAAAAACCTGAGCCTGAAGGGGCCTACACAAATTAATGTCTCTGATATTTCATCCACGTTTTTTTTTTCTTTTCCTGTAGACATCTTTATCCTTTACCCTAATTAAAAACTTCGTTTGCATGTACTTTGTCTCCCTCTTTCTCTTCACTGCTTCACTATGTTCTGTTCTTTTTCTCTCCATCATCTTTTATCTTTCAAGATATCTTTTTAATTATTTTTTTTCCTGAAGGTAATATTTTCTATTCAGTGCAGAAGTGGTAACTCTTTGTTCTTCTTTCTTTCCCTATCTTACCATCTTCTTTTCTTATTTCCTGGGTTTTTCAGCACGTCTCCTTCCTTTTAGTCACATCCTTTTTTTCTTTCACATCTCCCATTTTCTGGATCCTTGTGGTCTCACTCTTCTCTCCATCTTCTCTCCTCCCCTTTCTCCTCTATCACCAAAATTCTCACATATTTCCCTTCCAAAGCCACAAACATGCTGATTCCAGGCTCTGATCAGGCACACTCTCCTCTCTTGGCAGACTTTTCTTCTCTGAACTTCTCCTACACACATTACTACCTCATCCCAAAAACTACTCACAATTGCAAACTCACTTTCCAATAAATTTACTCATGTGAATATACATACTGTTCATATTCACACAGGTATTCTTTCTCCCTCTGTCTACAAACAGAAATAGGGATGAACTGTCCTCTGCTGCTGCAAGACCAGACCCCAGTTAAATCCTTAGAATTGAAGACTTACTTCTGGCCATCTAGATCTCTGGCGCCTGGGCTAAAATCCAGATCTGTTGTCCAAGCAGCACACGTACCTCTGTCTCCTGCTCCTTCTCAGCAGAGCTGCCACAGAAACATGCAGGTATTATCTTTGTTGCTAACTATCTGAGTCTTATCATCAAAGCCCTTTTGAGGCCTCATAATCTTGGATCAATACCTCTTGGCCCAACAACTCCACAAAATTGGCACATCAAAAGCTGAAAAGTAAGGAGAAGACTAAAAAGTATTTTGAAGGCCATAGAAAGAGCCTGTAACAGAGCCAGAAACTCAGGTTAGCTCTATTGTTTTGCTAGGCTAACCTTCCTTAGCCCCTCATCTCAGGCCGTGCAAATCTTCTCAATGTTGCACTAATCTTCAGACACATATAAGTCTTTCGGGTTTTTTGGGGGTCACTCAAGTTGAATACAAAGGAAGAAATGGGAGAAGCTCTGACCTGGGTGAAGTTGAAGAGGGGCATAACTGGGCCACAGACAGAAAATATTGCCCGGGCAGGGGGCATGCTCCAGGGATAGCACTCGCTGCCATCAGCATGCTACCAAGGTGCTTGGATATATATTCTTTTAGCAGGGCTTTCTGTGCCATTTAAATACTCGTTTGTATGTAGCATAATCCTATGTAGTCACTTTTCAACTGCTTGGATTTGTTTGTTTGTTTTTTGTTTTGTTTTTTTTTTTTCAGTCTAGAAAGCAGCCTATTGAATAGTCAGTCAAATATTTTTGCTTCTTTTCATGACACACCTCCTCACTCACACTGCACAGATAGTGGCATGTGCTCAGCAGCTGAAAATCTGTCAGAATACCAAGGAACTGGAAGTCCAAGGGAGTGATTAAGAAAATCTATGACAGTTTCTAACATACCTTTATTACCTCTATAATGAAGTTTGATTGAGTTGATGCAAGCAGGTCATTACAATTGTTTTTAAATCAATTTACAGCTCAGAAAGACTCAAGAAGATGGCACTGTGACAGAGCCTGGGATCATCATGAGAGGCAGCACTGCCTGGCTGTACCAAGTCATATGCTTTGCTCTTGCTTCCTCTGTAGCAATTTTCATCTGCAGCAAAAGAGCTGGAAAGATGAGGGGAAGAAAAAAAAAAGAGCACTAAAATCAGGACACTCACACATCAGCCAAGCTTTGTTTGTTCTTTCTCATTTGCATTCTTTCCCCCAGTGGTTCAACACTGAAATTTAGCTGACTGTTCCCTTAGAGATGAGGCTCCCAAAGGCTTCTCACCTGCCAGCGTCATCTTACAGCCCCAGCCCGTACCTCTACTTGTCTGAGATGCTTTTATAATGGTTTTGAAGGGATCAGCAGCAGCCCCTCAAGCCACACCTTTCACAAACACTGTATTCCTCTCCATTCACACCTCAAATTCATCCCTGGGGAGAAGAAATATTTGTTAGCTCAAGAAATACACATAAACATACATGTGTGCAAGCAGTCAAGAGCTAAATGGAAACTGATCTTGGGGAAAGTGGAGGAATGGAGGCACACTGCTGCCTGCCCTAAAGCTGACTAGTGCCTTCCTGCCTTTCCTTTTTTCTGTTTTCACTTATAATTGTTACTGTTCTGTATTTGCACTGTGGAAGTATTGAAAACTCAAAAGGATAGGGGCAGCAGCTGAGCAAGACCCTTGCAGTCAAACAACTGAAAATATCCTGAGAATCTCCTGATCCCCTCAGCTTGACAGGTTCTGCAGAACAGCTTTCATTTTAGAAAAAAACACCCATTTTTTGGAACAGCAAAAGCAGAATTTTCCAGAAACAAATGTATTGAGGACAAAACCTGTTTGTATTTCAGAATATACTACATGTTATATATGTTACAAAAGTGGAGAACCAAACAAAAAAGGTTGAAATTCCTGTACAGTGTTTCAGTTTTCACAAAAAGAAGAGCGCCATGTTGAACAACACTCAGCTCTGTGCAAAAATCCCTTTTTGGGGGAATTTTGAATATTTGGCATTTCACTGAAAATCAGAAAAGAGTTATGAAAGTTCAGGCTCTGAGTCTAAGGATGTAAAATTTCTTCATTTCAGGAAGTGAAAAATACTGTGTGTTCCTGAGTGTCATTTATGGGTCAGGTAAAGAACCTGCAAAGCTGTAAAGGAGCCAATTACTAACTGATGTGCTATATTGACTCGTGTTTGCTGAACTAATATTTTGCTGTGATGCATATGTCTGATTTGAAGAGTTCTTGGCTCTGGAGATTTCATAATTACTTGGATATGAAGATCCAGATTGACATTGTTGTGGCTCAGCTGCATTCAGGCAGAGCTTGTCACCAGGCACAGGGAACACAGGCTGTAGAAAAAATGCCATTATTCAGTAGATAAGGACGACGGCTCACAATTATTATACTTCCTCTCAGTGTTTTAATTTTCACGCTGTGTTTCAGTGACATTGAGAGTAGCAGGCAGAGCAAACAAAGCCTAAGGAACAGCTCCTTGCCACTGCTCCTTAATAAAAGGAAATGTATCAATCTCTACCGCCTGACCTTTGCAACGAGATGTAATGAAGTGACAAAAAGAGAAGGGGTGATGCAGCTACCAAGTTTACACTTGAAAGAGTTTATCGCAATGCTCAACTGATATCTGAAACTTCCTCCTAAACAACATGTTTCCAAGGTCAGTGAAGGATGTTCTTGTGACTTTCAGTAAGTTCTGGTGAGGCTCTCCAAGTGCCCGCTTCATCTAACACTGAACAAACACAGAGAGCTGATGAATGCAATAGGTATGTGAAAAGAGAGTGTGGCACCTGAAGAGAATTTGAAATAGAAAGGACCAAAGGTGAAAAGATTTAAAAAAAAAGAGCAGAGTTCCAATTCTTTGACACTTTTCTTCTTAGATAAAGATTCCTGTTTAATCCCTCAAGATACTATTGTTTTTTAGCTGAATTAAACCAGCAATGTGATCAAAATACTTGTTAATCCTGTGTTGTTCATTTTCTCCGCTGCTAACACCACCCAGAGTCTAGGTCTGTTTAGCAGCAGACAGAATTATTGATTGCTTCTGTTTTGCATTTAAGAATAGCAAAACACCCATTTGGAGTTCTTTAACAAAATATCTAACTATTAATGAGTATATAAAAGGTATTAAAAACTGAGAGAAAGTGAAAAAGTAGTCTAGACATGTTAGGAATAAAGACACTTTCTTGTCTTAAAACAGCTTTTAGCAATAACACTTGCAGAATATTAATGCTTGCTGCTTGTTCTTGCCCATTTTGATGACGATATGTACTGAATCAAGTTTAAAATAAAATTTTTTGCATAGCAAAATGTTTTGTTTTACCAAAATTTTTATGTTAGTTTCTATGTTAATTGCTTTATGAAGCACTTTCATTCCTTCTATGCAAATCAGAAAAAAAATATTTCTAAAACAAAATGTAATGGAAATTAATTTTTTCATTTCTGATGTGCTACTTGGAGCTGAACTCCTCAAACCCTTCTGGAGAAGGATAGACCCTTACTTGGACCACTCATTGCTGCAGTAAGTTTTGCTCAGAGATGTGTCCCAGCACACCTTAGTGCACATGAAGAAGGGAGCTGGAATGAAACTTCATGAAAGTTGAACATTCCTACAATGTCAACAGTATTCACTAAAAAAAAGATTAATCAACATCAGATGTATAATCATAGAATCATCATAGAATCATAGAACAGCTTGGGTTGGAGGGGACTCCAAGGATCATCAAGCTCCAACCCCCTACCACATGCCGGGCCGCCAACCTCCACATTTAATACTAGACCAGGCTGCCCAGGGCCCCATCCAACCTGGCCTTGAGCACCTGAGAGCATCCGCAACCTCTCTGGACAGCCTGTTCTAGCTGTTCCAGATTTATACAATGTTTATACAATACAGTTTATACACTGTGTCTTGCCTAGGGGTTGTCCTTGGAATCTATTAATTTAGAAGAAAAAAAAAATGCATTTAGTATTCTCTAAAGTCACTGAATCATTTTGGCCACCTGTGTGCTTTGTTAAAGGAAGACTGCTCCTGCCTACTGCAACAACAAGCAGTGCATCACATCGACACAGCGTTCAGAAAATCAGAAAAATGAATAAACAGAGGGGAAAATGCCATGTGGAAGTGGTTAGTTCATAACCATGACTTTCAATATTAGTTGGTTTAATTAATTGAATGCTCAATTATGCAAACACTTTGCCTTCTGTTCTAACAATGATTCACATAGGTAAAAAAAAAAATGTCCAGTTAAGCAGCAAACAGAGAAGAAAACACCTTTCAGGTTAGAAGACAGAAAAAATCAGGCATTTGTTGAGGAAATAGTTCCCCAAGTAACATTCAGTGCCACATATTATTATTCACAGAAGACAGGGGGTGGCAGTTCAAATGTACACAGTGTTTTTAATCACTGATTTAAAGATGGTGTGGTCATTAAATCGTAATGGACTCTGGCTGAGGGCTATCTCTCCATTAAATACTAGCAAATAATTTCTGTGTTTATCCATCCCCGGCTTTAAGAGGAGATTGTTTGTTGACTTTGAACCCTAACACAAGGCATTCCTTTTCAGCATTTTAAAATAACGCCATCTTTATTATTTTATTCTTAATATTTAAACAGGTTGAATAATTTAGCAAAGAGAATAATCCTCTAATTTCACTTTAATGAGGGCTGTGTAAAGTCAAACCCTGCAGAGGCTTCAAAACTGTGTCATGAAAAACACAGCCATGAAGAACAGCATGTGGGCACTACTCACAGCAATGGTGTGGCCACCAGGGCAGTTTGCTTGCAGCTAACCAAGTCACAGACAAATCACAAGCAGAATTTTAGCAAAGCATGATTCCGGATTCAGTGGGACCTATGTGAGGTTGAGCCTAAAATGTGAAACTACACAGTGTCCCAACATTGTGCCAACACCAGGAAGGTTCCCAGTGCCCATTGCATGACAATGAGGTGGAAGCATTCAGTCCCAGGTCACTGAATGCAGCCTCAGTCTCTTCAACAAGAGCTGTGCTGAGGTTTTGGGCCCTGGTGCACACAGTGTTTAACCATCCACATTGCTATCAGCATGTGAATTGAGATCACAGAGCGCAGCTTCACATAGAGCTTATCAAAATACTGTGCTAAATGAGTACCTCTAAGCTCATATTCTGCCAGCTAACAAAATAACCAAACATGCTTTGAATTTTGGACCTGATCATAGAATCATAGAATAGTCTGGGCTGAAAGGGACCACAATGATCTAGTTTCAATCAGTTGCTATGTGCATATGTAACTCTCCTAAGCATAAACCCCCCTTTCTCTCCCCTCCGCCCCCCCAACAAAAAATCCCCAGAAGCCAAGCCCCATCACCAAACCTCCTTCCAAAGACAGTGTAATGGCATGCATTCCAGCATAGCTCTACAAAGCTGTTATGCAAGAACAGTGTGCCCAAAAACAGCCTCTGGTCATAGCGGTGCTGAAAATATGTTGTTCTTTTTTATAAGCGAAAACAAGAGGGAAAAAAAACCCACTTATTTGTAAAAATAAATGCCCAGGTTTTCATTTATACAGGAATGACTTTGTTGTGTGGTATGCCCTTCAATAAAATTATAGCTTAGGTCCACAAGTGTGTGCGTGTTTTGAGGTCTTATACTTAACCTTATCCTTTCTCCATTTTTAAGGCATCCAACATCGTTAATGACCAGGAATGTAAATTACACATATTCATACTCATGTACGTTGCCTACCTAATTTTACAACTCCTATTAAATGCTTTAATTACACACAATGGGTTATAAATATTAAACCAGAAATGTATCTAAATAACTTTTACAGCGACACCAGAAGCTATGAAAATCCTTAGAATGTGAAAAGTCTTCACTGAAAAATAGCTTCCAAAATTCACAAATGAAAATACTGAGAATTGAGGCCCTTAGGTCTTTTTTTTTTCTTCCCAACTTTTAATCCACTTTACACTAACAGAATTTTAAAAGCTCTTTGTTTCAAGGCCTGTGCTATTGTGCTTGTGTGCTCACATATTAAAAATCACACTAGAAAACCCTTTTACCTAATTATGAAGAGAATGAAATTAATAGACTGCTCATAATAACTCAACACTTCCCCAAATGCACGTATTTTCATTATTTGCTTGTACATTACTTATTTCTATCCCTGCGACCTTATTCCTTATAACTATGTTATAAACTTCTTCAAGAGTATGGAAAGAATATTTAATACAAAGCAAAGTAATTATAGTCTGAAGGTTCTGAAATATAACTGAAGTGTATCCCTGGGGCTATTTCCTGATAATTAGGTATGACATAAATAATCATGATTAATTATATTTCTGGATAGTGATCTGCCTCCATTGAAATACTGCTATCCCTGATAATGCTTAACAATAAAAAAAAACCAACCCTACGTGTGTTTAAACAGAATATTTTCTTAAACCTCATGTGCATCTCAGCCACATAGGCTATAAATGGCTTTGATGTTTCTCTGATATATTGTACCACCGGAATAACAATTCTACATTTCTGAGGGCATTAAATAATACCATTTAGCAATAAATCAAAATCCAGAGGTTGGCAATTGCAGCAATTAATTCTATTTGATGAGTTTTTGTTGAATAAGCTTTTAACAAGATCTTGATATTTTTTAATGTCCCGTATATTAAAGCTGAGAAGAACTGTCAGTTACATCCTTCTGGTTGTAGATGTATCAGGTATTTGAGTCAGAGCATGAACTATTATAAATAAAATTTTGTTGATTAATTTGTTGATGACTATGAATGCCATTTGCGTTTCCAGATCAAGAACAAAACTTTCCTTTTTGGAAAGAATGCCAAAAGCTTTCCTATTTATACCTAGCACAATCAGGCATTATTGTTAATACATCATGACTACCTTGAGGGTCATCTTAAGCTGTACAAGGCAGTGCCCTGCAGAAGCAGTTCAGAAATAGAAATGAGAAGTGAAAAGCATGACTAGCAGTACTTTGTGCAAGGAACACACAGCCTGACCTTCAGGACTGGCTTTCCAGTGAGCCCTAACCCTCCCATCAGCAGCTCAGACAGCCTTGAACATGCCCAGAAGTATACCTGGGCTCACTTCTGGCAGAGTATCAATGGAGTCAGCCCCATGAGCTGGCTCACAGCATCCCTGGCTGTGACAGCACGGGAGCAGGAGCAGGAGGAAGATGGTGCTATGTGTGGATCCAGCGTTCCAATTTTTTGGAAAAGAGTCTTGAGAAATGACTATGCATTCATGCCTATGACTATGCCTTGCTTCAGACTTTCCAGGCAGGATGTGCTCACAAAAGAACTGGTAGACCACAGCAAGCCCAGGAAATCAGGAAAGCATCAATTCCAGACATGGTTGGCCTGATACTCTTTGTCCTGGTTGTTTTCTTCACACCTGTTACCATCTTCTTTGTCAAGGAAAATGGAGGCAATGTCACCTTCAGGCTGTATGCAGCAGAGTGGCAATGAGAAAATGTGAAGACAATTGCTAATGTAATTTGGCAATCCCTGGAGATCTGTGGATTCAGCATGCCTAATTCTGGATGCACAGACCCTCAAATCTACTCCAGAGAAGTGTGGCAGAGCTTAGAAGTACCCAGGTTCCAGCAGGATTTTCAACAAGCCACAAGGTGGAAGCAGAAAAGCCTGAGAGGATGACAGCTGTCAGGATGAGAAACCAAGCAACTGAACAGGGTGCTCAGTTGCAAAAAAGACAGCAGCAGGAAAGAAGGGGGCATATGTTTAAAATACTGCCGTGGAGCTAAAGATGGGAGTTGTAAGGAAAAGCAGGGAAAATAACAAAAAAGCTCATCAACACCCACCTGCCAAGAGTGTCAATAAAAATGAAAGGAGCAAAGGCAAAGGATTTTTTTTCTCTGCAGCAAGAAGCACAGATGGGCAAAAGTATAAAACGAAAGCCTGTATGAGGTTTTCAAATGTGTTGCCATTCCCAAGAAGGAGTGCACAAGAAAAAAATTTTACGTGAATTACGTTAAGTGTGAGCAAATTCTGGATTGGTATTCATGAATATTGTTATCATAAAGACATCTCAAAATTGTTTAAATCCTGTTTGGTTAGTTCTAATGGATTAGTAATGTATATGGTGAGGTGTATTAGTGTAAAATAGGAATGAAGTATTAGGTATGCGGAGGAGATTTATTTTCAACC